GTTCCGTGGGGCCGAGGGGCAGGCGCTGGAGCTGGGCCCAGACGAGTTGCGGCAGCAGGACGTGGTGCTGGCCGAGCTGCGCAACTGCCGTGTGCTCCTGCGGGGCAACCCCAACACACTGCGGGTGAGCAACTGCCGGGAGTGCACGGTGCTGTGTGGGCCCGTGTCCACCTCAGTGATGGTGGATGGCTGCCACAGCTGCATCCTGGTGCTGGCCTGCCAGCAGCTGCGCACACATGCCACCCGCAACACGCAGCTGTACACAGCCGTGGTCAGCCGCACCATCCTGGAAGACTGCGCCGGCATCAGGCTGGCGCCCTACAGCTGGACCTACCCCGGCATTGAGACCGACTTCGAGGCCTCTGGGCTGGATCTGCACCGCTGTCACTGCGACTTGGTGGATGACTTCAACTGGCTGGTACCAGACCAGCCCTCACCCAACTGGAGCATCATCCACAAGGATGAGCAGGTCACCTGCTGGGACTGAGTGTAGCCATCGCACCCACCCTGGAGTCAGAAGTAATGTTAGCCTTGATTTGCCTCTCAGCCATGCTGTGCCATGGGCCTCCCCTTCCATGAGCCTGGTGCCTGGCCATACAGTCCTCCCACCATCTCCACCCTGGAGTTGGAAGTAACTTTAGCCTTGATTTGCCCTGTGGCCGCCACATGTCAGTGCTCGGTGATGTAGTGGGAGCAGATACCCATGTCGGACAGGTGCTGGTCACAGTGCAGTTGACCGATCTTATAGAATTGATTTGCTGCTGTAATAGTGAAACCAAGGTGCTGCGCTGGAGCTTATGGCCAGAGCCCTGGTGATAATTCCTCTGCTTCTGTGCCTCGGGCACCAGAGACTCTGCTGTTCCACCTGGGTGACAATGAGCCTCTAAATAGGAGTATGATGCTGCCTGCTTGTTAAGTCAATGAAGGGAAATCTGACCTGCCTTCCTCCTACAAGGTGAAAAGCAGATCCTCAGGAGGGTGGGATTTGGAGGAGCCTGAGCTCCCCAGCATATATAATATCCTGTGACCTGGTCTTCAACAGGGAGAAAATGTGTTTTTATCTCTCTTTACCTCATGCAAAATAAAAGTCTAGTGAGGACAAGGCTGCTGGTAGCTTTTGCCAGTATTAGCAGATTAAGGTAAGTATGGGGTCCCAACATAATCTTGGTCTGTTAATGCTGGTAGAAGGTACGGGCTGCCTTGTCTAGATCATCTCTTTTTTTTTTTTCCCCTAGCAAAATTATTTTTACTAATGTTAAATAGTACACGATTAACTTCTGTGAATACAGACAAGCCCTTAGATCGTGAATTTACACCATTAATGTAGGTGCTGTTTGACAAGGGTCTGTTAAACTGACAATTGCCCAAAAAAAAATATTTGCCTAGAAGCGATCTCATGTTGAGAGCTGGGAGTTTTGCTGATAGGTGGAAGCAAGATGGCTCTTAATGTACCTGGCTTTGTCTAGCTGGGAAAATTACCCTACCCTGCTGTGGTATGAATTTACAGTGAGCTGGCTGCTCTGCACTGCAAGTGGAAATCTTACTGCATATTAAGTGCATCCACCTAGGGAGTTAGTGCATTGGATACTATATACTGTAAATTAACACAGCTGCCTGCAGCATAGTGACTTTCCATACAGACATGCTCAGGCTCTTGATCTCTACACAAGACATGAGGTAGGCAGCAGCATAAGTAGAGGGTACAGACAGTTTTAGAAAAAAAACACTTGGGCAAGTCATAGTTTGTAATTCTGTGTACTTCCATCATGCATCTTCTCAACAAACACTTTTTTTTCCTGCAAACTTTATGTTCATTGATTTGTCTTTGTTTGTGTTTGGGTTGTTTTTAATTTCCATTATGAAGAAGAAGATAATTATGCTTAGCAACTGAGATAAAATTAGTACAAGGACTTGTTTCAAATGTTCAAGTCATTCCAATGCAAATTGCAGATGAATGCAGGCTAATCGCTGTACTCTTAAATTCCATATGGTTATCTTTACTAACTTATTAAACATTGCCTTGCCTATGAAAAAACACCTTCTGTGAGGCTGAACAGAAACTTCCCATGTTGGCCAGTTCATTGCTGTAATACCTTTTGAGACCCATCTTTAAGTATTTGATTCTTTTTGAACAGCAGAGAATTTCACTTATCCATCATTTCTTTCTAGAATTGAAGGTTTTATTTTGAACCATGGAATGATAGAGGAGTTGGGTCTTTATATACAACAACTTTTGCACATTTTGTTTACTTGCACTAATGTGTGTGTTTAAGTTTTTCTAGGTTTTATACAGTGAATGTACATTTAACAACTGTACTTACCTCAACTATTCTACTGTTTGTTTTTATTTGGTTAAATTTTCTGCTGTTTTGACAGTTTCCTAAAACTAGTTCAAAGAAAATAAGTGTTGCTTCTAGTGTTAATGCAACGTATCCCCAGGGAGATTTTTTCCAAACTCGTTATTAAAGAGATGCGATCAAGTGAAAGGTCAAGTGTTTAGACCTATTGACAGGCTCCTGCCCCCCCACTACCATATTTTCTCACATGAAACAAACATGTCTTTCCTCAAACCAGTCGGGAGAAGCCTGCTGCCAAACTTACAGACCTCTGGGGGTGCCCCCTGGCTGGAGGTTATAGGTTTGCATTCTGGATCATGCTGGCATGTGGGCTTAGTCCATGGCTGGACTCAGTGTGCAGCCCTGGACCCAACACATGGAGGGGGAGTCGGGCCACAGCCAGACCTTGCAGGTGGGGTTGAAGCCAGGCTGTAGCCTGAAATCTAGCGCGTGGCCCTAGGCTGTAGGTCCCATGTAGCACGCAGAGCTGGCGGCAGGCTTGGCTCCCTAACTGCTGCTACCAGTCATTTAGCCAAGGTAAGATCTTTTTGCTGCGTTTTCAGAAACAGGCTATATATTAAATTCTAGGGTGTAATATATGTGAGAAAATATAGTACTACTCTTTTCCCACTTTGCAGATCCTTGCACTGAGAATGAGACCGTCTCTCCTTTTCCCACTCTAGTTCCACGTTAATTAAAAACAGTTTGTCTTGGGTCTTAATAGTAGTCAAAGAAATCATTACAAAATGGCATTGAGGGAGAAAAAATGGATGTTATGACTAAATTCCTGCATTACTTCAGCAAGATAGAGCAGTGGATCAGTACAAAGTACCTTCAAACACCAGTTACAAAAATGCAAATCTTAAAATACTGAAAATCAGTTACTTTCTCCTGCATGCTTCCCCCCCACTTCCCTTTTTTTCCCTGTTTGCTAACCAGATTTCTTTTTTATTTTAAAGAAATTTCCGGCACTAATTACTGCTGCCTTTCCAAAGAGTGGCTGTAATGATTTCTTGCCTTGGGGGTGAGAGAGAGACTTGAACCTTAGTCCCCTGCAAAGTGACGATTTTCTCTAGGAGTAAATCTAAGACATATTTTGTTCAAGGAATCCCATGTGCATGTAACAATAAGTATAGCAGCAGTAGTGTTAAGTCTGGTCTTAACAGTTTCTCAAACTTCCCAGAGGCTATACTGTGTATACTGCTATACATGTCTGTTAAAAATTACATCCCTGTCTTGGAATATATCTAAACCAGGCTAAGTTTTAGTATCTATGAGCAAAAGATACTACACTAATGTTGAAGGATGTGGTATGCAAACACTCAAAGTCTGCAATGAAAAATTTGTGTTGAACATACTGGATATTATCTAATTGTGTCAGTATAGGAGCAACTTGCAGCTTTCTGCAAAGGAAAAAATGTGAAAGAAACATTAAGTTACCAAAGTACTTGAATAAAAGGGATTAAATATTATTCATCATGATGATCTTTATTAAAGATATACATGTGGGGAAAAAGTTGTTACTGTGTTTTTTTTTAAAAAGCATTGGACTGACTCCCCTGGTTGCTCCATTAATCCAAGAAAAAAGTATTCTCTCCTAAAGGCAATGTACTCTACAAGGGGGAGGGGAATGCTCTCATTATGTGACATTTCAGTATGGTAACCTCCTGCATCCCAGGACTATTAGTAGGCATGATAGAGTTATTTCACTGACAACCCTTTCTGCCTGAATGATGTATTGCCAGCTGCAAGCAGCAAAAGCATAGTTGGGTCCTATTCCTTTCCCTTAATGTGAAATGGAAAATTGTAACAGAAGTATAATGCCAGTGGTATAAATATCATTCATTGTTCAGTACTGTTTACAAAAGTGTCTAAAGGATGAAATATTGGTAGGAGTACAGTTTAAATGACTATTCCATAAAATATTTTAAGTACAGTTTAGCAACCTGTTTTAAAATATTTTGCTTAATCCGGCTGAACACTTTCCTTTGTTGATAACAAAATCATTTTTAAATAAAATGTCAACGCTAACAGCTATTTATGCATTTGAAATGCTTTATTTTATTATAAAAATGAGCAGCTACTTCTGACTGCATTTTTAATAGCATTTTAATATATAGGGTCAAATCCTGTCATCTTTAGTCCATTGCAATCCAGTCAATTTCAGTTAAACTACTTATTCAATAAGGTGCAGTTTTTGTAAGGAAAGTAGCATCTGCCTACAATCTTAAGAACTCCATCAATTTCTCTAGCCTTCCCCCTCAACGCAATAAAAGTATTAGAAAACTTTGCACTCCTAATTCTTTTTAAAAGGAGAACAGAGGGGCTTTAAGCCATTTTTTACTTGAGTGAATTTGTAAGTAGAGGAATTATCTTGGACAACATGCCTTAAATCCTACACAGAAAATGAATTGAGCAAGCATGTGTAACATTCTCTGAGGGAGACCAGTTTAAAAAAGTGCAGAGCTAATTGCTCACCCTTCTGTTTCTAGATGGATTTGATGGAGCTGGTGGGCACGTCTACAGGAGACAGCTAATACCCATTGGACTAATTCTACTGCACATTAGCACAGCTAGCAAAAACTGCTAATGTACAGCAGATTAGTCCAATGAGCATTAAGTGTCACCAAAAAGGCATTCATCTATGCTAATACACAGTATCACCAATTATGGCACATTAAATGACTATGTAGAAGTGTCCAGAGTAGAGTACTGCAACTATTCTACTTCTGTCTCAAACGTACAGAAGGCATACGGAGTGGGTACACACAGTAGTGCAACAGTGGTGGGCACAAATGGTTGACACTGCTGACGAAGCAGGA